ATGTTATCGTCGCTCCACACTGAGTGCCGTCTGATCTCTACAAACACTGATCTAGTTAAATATGCAACCGATGCGCCCTTTTTTAAACGGCAATTACTGCTGGTGTTTACCGTTTTTGCAGTGTAGACGCGGTGGGGGGAGATAAGGGTAGGGGGAGGGGGTGTTAAGGAATTAGGGTAGCATGGCTAGTTCTGTTGCCTGGGTCTGTGCAGCATGGGGTTTCATTTTTACCCCCGACAGAAAAGAAATCCACAAGCTTATCAAGGATTTGAATCCGGCTCTCGCTAATGAGAGTCTAATGTTCTTAACCATTGGACCAGCCGCTCCTCGCCCAGTGTCACCGACGTTAACATAGTGTTCACATTTTACAGAAAATTTTGTAAATCAATAATTGTAAACATGATAATTTTACAAAGACGAATATGACAAAATAAATTAGGAAATGAGGCATACGTGTATAAAGGCAAAAGAAGATTATCTAAATGAACAAGGCAATTAAATTGAACACAGACCTATAAAGATGCAAAAAGTGTGCACAAACAAATTAACGTTCTAACAGGAAGAAAGATAACAATAGAGACGGGATGTCTGCAATCAAAAGCAGGAGAGATCTTTATGGCGTAAGATGATATAATAATTAGATGGAATCTACTATCTATTTTTTTTTTAAATTGATCAATAACAAGTCTATGTTTTACAAATGTATAATTTAACAAAAGATTTCATTCATAGTCTATGATTTCAAACCCATAATTAAGAAATCTTAATTTTAAACAAGTTTAATCTTACTGCTGTCTTTGAGAATGTTACTGGGTAAGACCTCAAATTCTTCCACGGTGCGTGTCTCATACTACTTTCCGAATTCCGCGAAACCGATAATTTACACATAGTTTTTTTTTTAATTATAATTTACACATATTTTTTTCCACACAATTATAAATTACTCATAGTTTGATTACCTAACTATAATTGGCAAATCCATTTTGTTAAAAACTATAATTGACCCATCTATTATTTACAAAACTATAATTTACACTAGACTATTTAAAAACCGAAAATTTACACAT